GGGAAGACACCAGAAAAGAGCATGATGATGAAGTGGTTGTAGAACAGTGTGAAGACCCAATCTGCTGGAAAACGGGCCGTCCGTTTCATCTCCTTAAACAAGTAGTTTAAAAATCCATCTGGGGAAGGGGTAACTTTTCTTTAATTGCCCCTTCATGGCTGCAGACTGGGGCTTCAAAGGGTTAGAGAGGCAGCTAGGGCACATCCCCAGATGCTGAATGAATTCATGATGGACTAGCGCAATTAAAGAGAATATGAACTGAATAAAAATTGATTGGACAGTTAAAATGTCCTGTGGTTTTGACATTAATGGAGGATACTTTATAGGAAGAGTCCGAAATGGAAAGTGAAGCTTTCTGAGAGGCTGTAATTTAGCGTTAATTAATAGGCGTGTAAACCTCTAGCACGTAGCATCAAGGACCCTTGATCATTAAAATACCAAATTGTCTAGTACCCTTTTGTCTCTGTGGTGTGGAGCCTGCATTCTCATCACCGCCCCCTCAGAAGGTTCAGTGTAGTAATAAAGAGCCAATCAGATCTGTTCTCCCCATGGGTTGGATTTTTTCCCCCTTTGCTATTAATCCATCTGATTTAAATAGTTGAACAATCTTTAACAAGTGCCCGCAGAGCCTGTCTCTCAGCTGCTCTGCTGGTCTCAATGAGTGTAGCTCTGTTGGAGTCGATGGAAAAATGCCCATTTAAACCCACTGGGAGTCTGGCCCAAAGCTTGACCAGGCATCAAAATCTGGTACTTTTATAATAAAAATAATAATCATTTGCCCACCTTCCGGCCCCAAGTCTCCATGTATCTATCAGGCATTGATGAATTTCCACAGCTCAGCTCTTCTCTGAGGCAGGGCAGTGTCACTATCCCCATTTTACAGTGGGGGAAACTGAGGCACAGATAGAGGAAGTGACTTGCAGCAGATCAGTGGAAGAGCTGGGAATAGAACCCAGGAGTCCTGGTGCCCAGTTTGGAGCCTTAACCACAAAACCATCCCTCCTTGCATACATATGGCAGGACATATGTGTGATGCCTGCAGCTGGCTGAACTTTTGTCATTAAAAGATTGTGGTGTTTTTCCCCTCCAAACAATGGCATTTTGAACAATTCAAAAATTTTCTGTGCAAATGCTTGGCTTGTTCAAAATGTTCCTATTTTTCATCAGAATGAAACAAATTTTGATCTGAATTTTAAAAATTCAGTGTCCTGTTTTCAGTTTTCCCGTATTTCTGCTTTTCCAGTGAAAAAAGGAGTGGAAAGGGGGGGAAGAGCGACAGCAACAAATTTTGGGTTACGTTTCAATGGAAAAATGGAATATAACAGCAAAAAACTTCCCCCGGAATAACAATATTTTGCTTCTCTCTAAAGAAAAACACAAAAAACTTCACAAAAAACTAGGTATATTTCAGCCACCCTAGTAACAACCTCCGAACTGTGTCTAGGTCCGTTCCGTGTCTAACAGAGGCTTGGACACTACACTCTCATATGGGCATGTTAAAGTGATGGGAGGGAAGAATCTGTTTCATTCACAGTCTCTTAAATATTCCCCATTTTCCGCCAGCCAGTGCAGGGCCAGCAGGCACACTTGTGCACTCGCACATGCATGCTTTTGGAGCCAACCTTTTCTACTGGTGGAAGATCTTGAGGCCATGTCTCGACTCCGTCACTTCGGTACTGTCTCTGCAGCTGGGCCGGTGTAGCACAGGCTTTTCCTACAGAAGGGGTTTTTCCACCCCTGGAGTGAATCCGCCTTTCCGAGGTAGCTAGAGAATCCTTCTGCTGACCCAGCCACCTTTACAGAAGGGGTCGGGCCGACCTAAATATGGCTCTGAGGGTGTGACATTTTTCCAGGGCGTGTGTCGCATTCCTGGGACGCGCCTAAATGTCTGTGAAATCCTCGGCTGTGATTTGTGGTTCTCATGGTAGCAACTAGAGCCTCCAAATGAGATCAGGGCCCCCTGGGGCTGGGTGCCGCACAGCCCCATCGTGAGAGACGGGCCCTGCCCTCAGGAGCTCGCAGTCCTACTGGACCAGGCAGTGGAAGGATTATTACATTTTTCCAGCTGAAGAACTGGGGCAGAGAGAGGTTCTGTGAATTGCCTAATCAATGGCAGGGAACTCAGAGCTCAGGAGTCCCAGTCCAATGCCTCAACCCAAGCCCATCCTTCCTCCCTGAGTTAATTATGGGCACTGCTGCCTAGAACCACCAAACCCAAGAAATATCTGCTACCTTCCTGAACCTCCCACCCATGGCATCTTCTTAGATCTGTAAATTCCACTCCACCTTCCTCCTGACATCTCCAGTTCTTGGCTCCCTCCTGAGGTGCTAGACATGGGGGATGAGCTCCTTAAATGCAGAAGAGCGGCAGCTACCAGTTAAAATGCTGGGGGGCCATTCCGGCAAGGGAACAGCATGGACACAGCACCTTGATGCAGCACTGCACGGAGGAGAGAGATTCCTCCTCGTTTGCACTGTGGGGGTGCTGCTGTGAGCACACGGCAATGTTCGTTGTCAGAGGTGGAGCCGCGTCTTTGTCATCGCTAGAGGCCTCTGGTTCCCCTATCACAACCCAAATGCCTCTTCATTTATATTCCAGATAAGTGAGTAAAATTTCATCGCAAACAGGCACTTCATTAATCACTCGATGTTACCATTCTGTTCACTCCTGGAATGGAATTTGGGGTCTTGATAATGGCTCTGTTGTCCAGGCATGTGCCCTGAAGACTGATGCACCTGTCTCTGCGACTAAATAGCTTTGCAGAGAAATACGATCGCCTAAAAACCCAAGGTTCTACTGACAGCAGGACACAGATAAGATAATCTTCCTATGCCTCCAGGTAGCGGAACAATCCTTGCATTATAGATTACAGCGTCACTCCAACAAAGAGATTATTCTTATTTTTCCCCCTTTTGCATTTTGCTTAAAACAATTATGGCTTTCGAATAAGTTTACCACGCCGGCTGAGGAATAAAATGACGCTGAGCGTCAGGGAGAGACAGACCCACTGGGGGCTGTCGTTGGTCTGTGTGCGCCTGCCTCATCTCAGAACCTCTGCCCTTTGATGAATCGTCTCAGAAAGACACAGCCCATTACAAATAGCCGGAGTTCTTCTAGTTCTGTGCAGAGCAAGCGCCCTGTGGAATACCCGGGGCGAGGGGATTCCTCGGCCAATAAAAAAATGTTACCGAATAATTGTGATAATAGTTTGATACAGCATGAAAAGTAAATGACTTCTTATAGTGCAGGCCCCAATGGAGATTGGCTGGTGCTAGGCGCTTTCCTTACCCGTAGAGAGAGTCAGTGGCTGCCCCAAAGTACTTACGAGCTAAATAGACAAGTCAGACAAGGGGGGGAAAGGGTCACTACCCCCACTTTACAGATAGGGACCTGAAGCACCGAGAGATCGTGAGCTGGCCCAGAGCACATCTGGGGGGATTCCCCTCCCTGTACATTGTTCCTGGCATGTGAGCAATTCAGCCTAGATCCCAATGGCAGCAACCTGTCGAAGTGCTCCCAAAATTGGCGGCCCAGCAAATACGTTAGCTGTGGGCTGGGCAGCTGACTAGGCATCAGAGCAGGGAATTTTCAGGGTTCCTTGTTCTGAGCTCCACCCCAGTCGGTGGGTCTGCATCTCGTAGGATGTCACAACGACACCTCATTGTGAGGAGAGTGACGTGTTGTCACGAGGGTGAGATTCGCTGCAGTGCAGAGGGCAAAGCACAAGGTACAGGTGCTGTGTAAACCCTGTAGTGCTTAGGTCTTCTGCTGGCCTTGCATGGGGGTGAATTTTATTCACTGATTAACAGCAAACAAAGGGTTAATGACTGGCGACTCGTTTTTATTGCCTCCAAGTCTAAACACTGAGACCCTATTTCAGTGGCTGAGGTTCCAGCTAAGTCACCTGGCAGTGCACCTGTTTCACTGGGCTGATGAGGAGGGCAGCTGGGGACCTCAAATTAAAACCGATAATTTGCCATCCACGACATTGACATCTGTTGTGAACGGAGAAGGGATCAGAGAGGAGGGAGAATCTGAGAGCTTCCTGGATCTCTCCCTGAACAGTTAGCCTGGGGGACTAGGTGCCAGGACTCCTGGGTTCTATTCCTGGCACTGCTACTAACTTGCTCTGTGTCCGTGAGGAAAACTCACTCTTGGTGTTTCTGTTTGCCCCCTCTGTAAAAGGGGGGGTTATGATTCCCAGCTCTCAGAGGCATTGAGATCTGTGGGTGAAATGATGAGAAAGAGGAATTATTTCTCCCTGGTACTGGGGAAGGGGTCGAGTTACTCAAGAGCCAGGAGAAGGCAGGAAAGCTCCAGAGGCTGGGGGAGAGGAAATATTGTCACCCCTCTGCTGAGCAAATGCAGATCGTGGGGCCCTGCAGGTTGGTTTCCGATGGAGAGACACCAGTGATGCAAAGTCTGCACGTTTTCTTAGTGTAACTTGCTTTATTTACACCGTGTGCATCAGTCCTTCAGCAAAGGTGGTCACAAACAGCATGCAGGCACAGCCGCTCTCTCTGAAATCTTGGGCCAACACCAGGGCCCGGTTCCCCAAGAGCAAGAATTGGCTCTAGTTGGAGAGACTGAGGCAGAGACCAAAGTCTCTGCTGCTTGCTACAGCTCCTCTGAAAGAATGAATTGACATTGCAAAATGAACAACGAGGCAGCATTTCTTCTAAGGTTGCACGCAGCTGGCAGGCGAAGAAAAAGATCTTGCAAGACTGTGTAACAGCGCCCTCTTGGGGCTCCTGCTGTAACAATATGATAAGAGGTAGCAACATTCGGGCTGCCGGGCAGAACCTCATGGTGTGTTGGACATCGGGGGCTGGGGACAAGCCTGGATTCTGCCCGGACAACACCTGGAGGACAGCACGTGCCAGGAGCTGCATGCTCTAGGTGTTGGCAGGGCCCGTCAGCAGTAGCCGAGGAAGGAAAGGATTCGAAGCACAGTATTAAGCACCGAGTAACCACGTGCCCTCCCTCCCTCCCCTTCCAGATGGATCCCGTGCAGAAGGCCGTGATCAATCACACCTTTGGTGTCCCCTCCCCGCTCAAGAAGAAGCAGTTCATCTCTTGCAACATCTGCCACCTCCGATTCAACTCCGCGGTAAGCTGTGTCTGGAAGGGGTGGGGCGGGCAGTGCCGAGGGAGAGGGGGCTTAGCAGCCGGATGGTCGAGACAAGGAAGGAACAGGCTCCTTCCCAAAATGGGACAGTGGGCCAGACCCTCCATTGCCAGCAGCTTACATGGGGTACAGCCGAGGAGGGGGTTGTCCGGAGCCGTAGCTGTCCCAGCCCAGGAGCTCTGGCGGCTGGTGCAGCAGCAGCTGGCTATGGCTGCCCCAACATCAGCTGGGCCTCTTTGCGCTCGCCCTGCCTGCCCCGAGGTGCCCATTGTGCTGGGGGCTTCAGGGAGGGTGGTTTAGTGGGCGGGTCACTGGACCAGGACTCTGGGGACCTTGCTGCAGTTCTTGGCTCTGCCACAGAATCCCCATGTGACCTTGGGCAAGTCTCCGCCTCTACTTTGTGCCTCAGTTCCCAATCCGTGAAATGGGGATAATATGCCCTGATCTCCCAGAGGGTGCTGGGGGGATAAAACCCATTAGTGATGGTGAGTGCTCGCCTGAGGTATGACGATGTGGGTCAGCTGAGTATCTAGATAGGGAGGAGCCAGCTCTGCTGTCTATACCTGCAGGGGGTATTTCCAGTCCGACCTTGCAGAAAGTTTCTGCTTCCTTTGCACCGTTGAGAGTAGGTCATCCAGAAAGAAAGCAGAAGGCGGGGGGTGTTGGGGGGTGTTCCTCAGGACATAGGGAAGCCCCAGGGGATTTCTCTTGTCTTTCAAAGGGAGTTTGAATAAAGAAATGTCCTGATGCCTAGGCCAGTCCCCCTAAGGCTAAGGCCTTGTCTATACTAGACAAATACAGCAGAAGCCCAGTAGTGCTTAGGTGAGCAGCTGGCCCTTGTGGGTGGGTTTCACACACTGAGGAACAGCAAATGGAGGAGCTCTTGACATGCACTGGTTTCATGAAATCAATTTAAAAAACGGATCTAGTGACATTGGGGCAAAGCCCAGCCTAATGTACATACATATAAACCACTTTCCCCTGTGCTCATATTGATTTTGCGGCATCTGACACAAGCCAGGTCACCACAGAGTTAAACAAATTGAAGTGCATCTGCATTAGGCGTTTGCACTGATTTGACTAATTGAGTTTTAAATCCATTTCATCAAACTGGTTCAAGTTTGCTAGTCGAGACAAGGCCCAGCAGAGCTCTCTGAAGAGGCTGGGAACGTTCTCAGAACTCCAGTGCTTAACTCGCCGCTGGGCCAGCCCCCTGCTCCCCAGCGCACCAAGCAAGGGCATGTCTGGGTTACTTAACCCCACACACATAGTTTTAGATACAATTACAAACTGTGAACGTGCTTGCAGAGGAGTCGCTCCCATTTATAGCTTGGGTGAATTTGCCCTGTAGCATGGAAACTGGCCTGGGTTAAGTCCCCTGCACCGCAAGGGAGATCGGTCCAGGAGTTCCTCCCAAAATAGGGTTGGTCATCATGACCTTGTGTCTTTGCGTCATGCCCCCCGTCCACCCTGGGAAGGGCAGGTTCGGCTTCGGGTATGTCTCATCACAGCCAGCCCCCTGCAGCGGGAAAGCCCTGCAACATTCAATGGCTTCCCTAGCTTTAATGGGAGGAGGTGTTGCCTAGTGGTTTGAGCAGAGGACTGAGACATGGGAGACCTGAGTTCTATTCCCAGTTCTGGCACAGGCCCGCTGGGTGACCTTGGGCAAGTCACTGCATCCCTTTGTGCCTCGGTTTCCCCATCTGTAAAATTGAGACCGTGATGCTGCCCTCCTTTACAGAGTTTGAGATCCACTGATGAAAGAAGTTAATTATTTATTATTATGGAAGGGCAGCAAGTTGTAAAGCCAGCCTCTCTCCCTTTCCGCCGCCCCCTCTCTGATACGCGGTGCCGTCAGAGGTCTCATTTTCACAGCCGCGTTCCAAGGCACGGACACAGCTTGCACATACCCTGCACACGTGGTGCTGCAGGTGGATTTACCCCTCTCTGCTGCCCTCCAAGTTGCTCGGCACCGCACCCTGCCCCCTTCTGGTTCTTTCACCCCGTGCGGCTCCATGAGGCCGACTGGCAGCTGCGCCCTCCCTCTCTAGACACTGGAAATGCCACGTCTGTTCCTTTGTCTTTCCGCTGCTCTTCATTTCGCTCAGGTCCGCTCCGGCTGCCTCGCTTCTTGGCTTGCACCCTTAAGCTTCTTTATCAGCCCGTGCAGTTCGTATGTGTTCCTCAGGAGCTGAATGTAATCTTTGCCGCCCTGGCTCTGCAGAGCTCTGATGTGCTGGATGGGTTGCTTGGGGTTTTTTTTAGCTTTTTCTTCCAAATCAATCAAACATCTTGTCGAGGGGAGGAAGGTCACTTTCATTCGTCCCCTGCAGTAATGAATTGTACCCAGTCGATCTCTTGTGGGGGGAGCTGATTAGAAGTTTAAAAGGAAATTCTCAGTCAGATCAGATGCTGCAGAAGTTGGGTGGATCCCCAGCAGACAGAGGTGAGGTTCTCTGCTCTGGGACACTTGGGAGGCCAGACTAGATCCGGCCTTACTGTCTATGGCCAGCTGAGATCTGCTCTGCAACCTTCCATGAAGAGGTGACTGACCGTGGCACCGGCCCAGCTCTCAACTCTCATTCCAGTCGAATCTCTTTGCTCTGGCTCAGGGTTGTAACGGTCGTTGTGTACAGAGGGCCGAATCCCAGTGTGTCATTCTCAGCCCCGGATGGGCTCCACACTCCTCGGCGCAGTCTCCAGGGTGTTGATAGGAGCCTTGCACAGAGGTCAAGGGATAGAATATGGCCCTGAGGGAGTAATTAACCTGGCAGGAATCATGGCATTGTCCCATTCAGACCGTGTTGCCAACCCTGGTGGATTTATCAGGAGTCTTGCAATATGTGGTATTTTAGTGCCTGGAATTAGAGGATTATGGGAAAATTTCATCTTGGAACTAGGACCCTAGGCTGTGGAAAACCCAGAAGGCAGAGAATCAGCACCTGGTGTTTATCGTCTTTTCGAATCTCATGATCTTTAACCCAATCTCATGATTTTTGTGCGCTTGATGCTGGGCGTCATTCACCAAGGGCACCTGGGCGGCTGCAGGCCACTGCTGTGCTGCCATTCATTTCTCCTCCTTCCCCATCCTCCTTTTTCCGGTTTCTCCCTCTTCCATGTCTCTATATGTCTGCTCTGTTCTTCCTTGTGCATTTCCCTTCCTTCAGCAGCTCCCCATCTGCCCCTGCTCCTGTGGGCCTTTCCCCTGCTCCCTGTTTGCTGAAATGATCACCTGCAGGCTTTCAGTGAAAACTGCTCAGCAGGTTACTCTCTCCAGCACCCAGACACCCAGATCCAAACCCCAAATAAATCTGTTTTACTCTGTATGAAGCTTGAACAGGGTAAACTCATAAGTTGTCTGCCCTCTCTAACACTGATAGAGAGATATGCACAGCTGTTTGCTCCCCCAAGTATTAATCACTTACTCTGGCTTTACTAATAAACAAAAGTGATTTTATTAAGTATAAAAAGTAGGATTTAAGTGGTTCCAAGTAATAACAGACAGAACAAAGTAAGTCACAAAGCAAAATAAAACAAAACACGCAAGTCTAAGCCTAATATATTAAGAAACTGAATACAGGTAAATCTCACCCTCAGAGATGTTCCAATAAGCTTCTTTCACAGACTAGACTCCTTCCTAGTCTGGGCCCAATCCTTTCCCCGGTACAGTCCTTGTTAGTTCCAGCAGACATCTCAGGTGGTAAGCAGGGGCTTTCTCATGACTGGAAGCCTCTTTGTCCTGTTCCACCCCTTTTTATAGCTTTGGCACAAAACGGGAATCTTTTGTCTTTGGGTCCCCACCCCTCCTTCTAAAGGGAAAAGCACCAGGTTTAAGATGGATTCCAGTATCAGGTGACATGGTCACATGTCCTGCAAGACCCCAGCCTCCATTCTCCCTGGGCTGGCCCACACGTACCCAGGAAGGTTTGCAAGTAAACAAAGCCATGTACAGGTCACTGATTCTGACACACCCTTAATGGCTTCCACTTAATAGGTTTACCTCAGTGATACACGTTTGTCTCTTATTCTCCTGACTCCAGACCTAGTAATAACACATGCAAACAAATGGGGTGACCACACTCTGTAGATCACAAGCTTTGTAATGAGACCTTCCAAGAGACCCTTTGCATAAAGCATATTCCAGTTGCATCATATTCACAGTCATCAGCATATTTCCATAAAACATACAGAGTGCAACGTCACAGTGGGAACTGGAGTCAGACTGGTTTAACCCCCCCATGTGGACGCTCTTAGTTCTGTGTTAGGGCCTTTGTCCGGCTTAGTTTACATGGCTTGGGAAGGGGTTTGAGGTAAACTGAGAAAAAGACACAGTTGTTCTGGGATAAGCGTATCCCTTGTGGGGAGTGAAACCGGGGTAGCTACATCAGTGTAACTGTACCCTTCCCCTGTAGACAAGCCCTTCAAAGCCAGGTTAATCTCCTAAACTCTGCAAACAAAACTCTATTTATTTTAAAAAGCATCTGTCAAACTCTAACTGCAGCCTGTGTGCTCGAAAGCTAAGTGTCCCCTCTGCCGACCCATACCAGTGTCTCTTCCCCCCCGTGCAATATTTAGATCTCACGCATGACAAGCACCCGACCAAACAAATATTTATTTGCTGGTTGCAAAGGCAGGGGGACGCCATAGTAATCTCCCTGCCGGTGTGGCTGGAGAATTGAGCCTCTGGCCAGCACCCGAAGTGGGTTAATGAGCAGCCACATGGCTCCTGCGCCTACAGAGAGAGCAATTAGCCTCTTTATACTTTGCTCCTGCTAGTTGAGGCTCAGTAATCATGCTAGCGTGCTTGCTCCTTCCCTTCTCCAAACGGAGGAATAGGGCAGGAGGCTACAGGGGAAACCACTGTTTCTTGGCTTTACTGAAAGCCATGATGGTTCCACAGTGTTTGGGCAGGGCCTCGTGGTGCCAGGAGAGAAGGTGATTGTTGGAGGGCAGGGGAAGAAAGTTAATTGCAGAAAGAGGTGATTTGTCACCAAGAAATCACCAGATCCTCCATCTAGTGTCTTACATGCAGGGAAGCCCAGCGACTCCCAAAATGAATGGCAGACTTTCTGTCTCAGGACTTCGGTAGCCCCTCATCCCCATAGGCTGGGAGAGCCTGACGGATCACCCCGATGGCGTCCTGTTCACTAGACCACCCTCCCTGCTGTAAAGGCCGCGAATCTGACACCCTGGCTCTCACTGTATGGTGTCTTGCTCCACGATTAGTCCCATAGTCAGTGTGAGGGAGGGGAGCAGCATAGACCCCGAAAGGATTTGGGCAGCATGAAACGCAACACCCCAGAGCTAGTGTGACAAAGGAAGATCGCTAAGAAAACGCCAGTCCTTCCACGCCTCCTTGTGCTTTGCTGCAGATGACCTCAAGGCAGAGAACGAGGCCAGTCGGTAGCTTTCCTGGCGCATTTCTGAGGAGGAGTTTGATGCACTCAGCTCACCGATCAGATCAGCCGCTGGAACAGGCCACACAGACACAAGGATGTGGATAGTCCCTGCTAGCCTGGGAACCTGCACAGCTCCGCCTCTTCCAGAGGAGAAATGCAGCCCCCAGCTACAAACCCTGCAGGAGGCTGGCTCAGAACAGAGTCCCAGTTCGACTGTCTGTGTCCTCAGACGGCCTCATCACCGAGTAACTGGGAACATGCAGGAATCTGCTGCCGCGTAACTCACAGGGCATGTTCTAGCGGCTGATGCAGGGTCAGCCTGTTGGCCCCAAATGCACTCGCACAACAAACGCTTGTGCTGTGTCTCACTCGTGCACACTCCTGCCCGCTGTCTTTCTGTCTCACTATCCCAAACGCTCACGCCCACCTCATGCGCGCACATGCTTCTTGCCTCTCCGGCACTGTTGTCCCGGCACTTGTTCTGTCTCCCACTCGTTTCTTTCGCACCTGGGCTGTCTGTCACTCACACGCGTACTCTCCTGCCCTTCCCACCCCTTCTCGCCAAGGCCCCATCTGGAGTGAAATCACCTCGCAGTTTACGCTGTAACGCTGGTTCGATTTCTGCACGGGACGGCAAAGCGCTGGGAGCCCTAGTTAAACTCCAGCTCAGCCCTGACCAAATTCCGTTACCTGATGGAGCATCTTCGTATTTGCTTCCTGGTGTGAGCCTGGTGGGTTTTCATCCACGTATCCTGCCATCGATTCTGAATTCGGACACCCTCATTTCTCTCCCCTTAAAGGGGGGGTTGGAGGGTCTGGTTCTACCTTGTAAGTTCTAGCAGCCTAAATTGGCGTCCAGAATTACCAGGCAACTTAACCTGCCTTGCTCTGCTACAGTGTCTTGATTCTTTTGGGATTTAGTTTCCATAAATTGCTAAATTGTGGTTGCTTTTGGTGACAACACTGCCTTGTCCCCAACTGCTAAGGACACAAATGTTTGGGGCTATTATCTTTTGTGTATGTTTTTATCAGGACCGTGCAGGCATGCGCCCACTGCTGTGCACTTCATTATTCAATGTTCACTGGGAGAAAGAAGACGGTGAATGGAAATTGCATGTTAGAGGCCTGTTAGGTTACAATGGGAGATGTGTCCTACCCGCGAATGTTTTTTTCCTAACAGCAGGAAATTTATTGTGTGTTTCTGAAGTCAGACATTTTGCCTGAAAGCGTCTTTTGAAAGTGACTTGGCTCATTTAATCAGCAAAGAGCCCTTATCTCAGCCTTGCAATGCAGCGATGTTGAAGCAAAATGATACCTCGGCTTGGATCGATTTGTATGCAAAGCAATTCAATGAAAGGCTGAAACCAGAGCTTTGCAACACACTCCCCCACAAAATCTCACCTTGGTGGAGGTCTCTGGCCCTGGGGAGGCCAAATGATTTCAGGGCACCGTGTTCTTCTGGCAGCAGATGCTGGTCGGCACCCGCAGATGTAACAGATCCTCCTTCTCCACCTGTAGTCACTCACATCTATGTCCATCCCAGGCGGCTGGCTCTGCCCCTGGGCTCCGTTTGGGTCAGACTGGGCAGGGCTGAGTCGGCTGGTGTTATTTATTCACTAGTTTGTATCATGGTAGCACCTGAAGACTCCTGCCCCAAAGAGCTCAGGGTCTAAATCAACAAGCCAGACACAAGGGTGGTTGGGCGGGGAAACAGCAACACAGCTAGGGGAAGAGTCACACAGCAGGTCAGGGTCAGGGACAGAGCTGAGAATAGAGCCCAGTGCCCTGCCCCTAGACCATGCTGTGTGTGTCCCTGTCCTCTCTGCAGTTCTATGTCACAGTGCTCCATAGGAAATCCCCCCCACCCCCACCATGCCTCCCGGGACTTGCTTTGGGTTTCAGGTTTACACCATGGGCTCATCCAGAAACCTAGAGCTCCATGGGGGTCCCTTGAAATCCACTTGCCTCTGGGCTGCGCCTCAAACCGCCAGCCCCCAAACGGGCTGGCCCGTCCTGGGAACCTGGCCGGAGTGGGAGGATTGGAGTGGAAGCTGAGGCCGGGCTGGGTGGAGATATTACGGCCAGCACAGGATCCAGCCATGGGTTAATGGACTCTCCCTGAGCACAGACACCACCCCCAGGGGCAGAGGGAGCCCGCGCGGGCGGGGACTGGGCTGGGCTCATCTGGAGCAGGTTAGGTATCCCGAAGGACTGTCCAGAGCCTGAGGTTTGGAGAGATGCTCGGTCTAAGCTGCACTGCACCAGCAGCCAGCTCCCCTTCCTCCTGAGCCCCCGTGAGGAGCAGCTCAATGGATAAAAGCCAGGTGGTCAATCTGTTTAGCATATGCAGATTGAGAGGTGACTGGATCAGTGTGTAAGGAGCTTCCCAGGAGCAAACGCCAGGTTCTACAGAGCTCTTGAGTCTAGCCAAGAAAGGCAGACCAGACCACAGGCTGGGAGCTGGAGCCAGACAAATTCCAGTTAGGAATTAGGTACCATCTTTTAACCAGTTGGAACAACGTCCCCGCAGTGGTGAGTTCCCTGTCTCCAGGGGTTTGCAGATCCGGACTGGCACCTTTCTGGCAGATGCTTTAGTCAAATACACGTTACTTGGTTCAATGCAGGGGGAACTGGGTGAAATGTAATGGCCTGTGATGTGCAGGAGGCCAAACCAGCCCATCGCAGTGGTCCCTTGTGGTCTTCAACTCTGTGTATCTATGCAAATGAGGCATGGGACTGGAGAAAGAGGATCACCTTATCACATGGTGACTGGCCCCTTGAAGAGGGAGCGGGGTCCAGTGCACCTGGGCCGCCTAAAGGCAGACGGACATGCCCAGCTGCCTTCCCATAAGCCCCGCTGGGCAGCCCGCACTCAGCCACAGATGCTTCGTCACTACGTCGGTTTAGGCCCCGATTCAACAAAGAATCCCCACTCAGTGAAGCACTTAAATCCCATTGACTTGGATGCTGTTCTGAGTCTGGGGCCAGGACTGTAAACTCTTCATGGCAGGGCCTGCCCTGCACAGGGGGTCTGAGCTGCACTTCACACAAAGTGGCCCAGTCTCAGCTGCTGCCTCCCAGTGCTACTGGCAAATAAATACAAAAGGGAAGGTTCTAGGAACACTCGTTTGCCTCTGCAATTAGCTGTTCCCCAGCTAATCACCAGGAGAGAAACCCTCACCGACACCCCCAGTGTGACCTTTTCCTTCCCTACTTTATGCTACTCTTTCATCTCCCTCTCCTTTTTCCTTCTGTCTCATGAGAGTCTGGTGTAAACTTGTGACCAGGGAGAGGCAGCTAAATGCAATGCCTTAGACAGCCTGATGCTGGTACGAGTTTGCCAGGTCTTGGAGTGGCTGATCAGAGCGGGTGCTGGGCCTGGGTTTCTCCAGAAGAGAGACTGCACCAGAGACCGAGGTTGTATTTTTTCTCTTTGCTGTTCTTTTCTCTCCCCTAACAAACTTCTAATTAGACGGGTGCTCACCTACCTACAGAGATAAAATGGCTCTAATTAGACGTTTGCAAAGCGCGTTAAGGCTCCTGAGCTGCAGAAGAACAAGGGATCCTTGCTGTTGGTCTCAGAGCAGCCTTTCCTTTCCTTCATCCCCCTCCTCCCCAGCCCTGTCTGTCTGTCTGTCTGTCTGTCCCTTCGTACATTGTTGCAGCATTGCGTGTGCTCTGACTTGACCTCTCCCTGGTCCCTTCCCTAGAACCAGGCGGAGGCGCATTACAAAGGCCACAAACACGCCCGGAGACTCAAAGCCATAGAAGCTGTGAAGAACAAACAGAAAACAGCAGTGGCCACCAGCCGGGACATCCCAGCAGACTTCCCTGCCACCCTGGACGTCAGCGGGGATCCCCACAGCACAGGTATGGCCATAGCCGCCCTCCCTGGCCCCGGACACCAGAAAGGGGATTTCCTGCACCCCTGGCTCTCGGCCGTCAGCTTGTACCAAACAGTTGCTCTTAGGGAGTAGGAGGTGGCCGAGTCTGTGCCATCCCCTGCAGTAATAATTCCCCTGGGACGAACAGCAGCATGATATTCTTCACGTAGCTCGATAAGGAGCTGCGCTGCTCTCCAGATATCAATTAACATCATGCTGGCATGGGTCAGAAACAACATCTGCCTGGCAACTGACAGCACCATGAGCAAGCAGGAGGCCAACAGGGTTGGGAACAGGCTGCAGGGCTCCTCATTGCTTGGTGACTGGTTTGCCTGGGTCATTAGCTGTGACTCCTGTATGTGGGGAGCTGGGACAGCAGTCTGGCTCCCGGTCCACTGGTGTCTGTGTCGCGGCCTGCCCCTTGGGGGCACCTGTGGGGCCATCTACACTGCTGCTGGGTGTGTGACTGTGAGCCGGGTAGCCCTATGCCCGCTAGCCATGACTCTAGTGTGCTAAATGTAGCAGGGTAGCCATGGGGGCACAAGCTAGGCCCCCCAAGTACCAGCCTGCCCAAGGCTCTGGGTCTGTGTTCGGGCAGCCAGCCCAGCTGTCTTCAGGGCACTAGCTGGATCTAGCGTGTGTACATCTGTCCACGCCAGAAGTGACACCTCCAGGTGCGGTGTAGAATCACCCTAAGCCCAAACCCTCCCCACTCGCAGCGCTGATTGTCACCCAGCTGGTGGCCTGGCGATATATACCACAATCTCTACTGCAGTAGGCCAGGGACCGGCTCCAGTCAGTGTCCCCCACTGCGGATGTGTCACACATTTCGCTCATCCCTCCCCCATCTTAGCCGGAAGGGTGAGAATAAGGGTTGCAAATGAGCAGACAAAGGGGGAAAGGCCCAGATCAGCCTTTAAAAGGGGGGGTCTGTCATCATAACTGACAACTCTATTGTTAATTACCTGGCCTTCCTCAGACATCATGAAGGGCTGATTAAGCCCTGAACCAGTGCCAGTTATTTACAGTGGCCTCGCTCTGGGCAGCCATTGATTGTTAGGGGCTAATCAGGCTAAAGAGGGTCCTGATTAGTAATGCAATAAACTCCAGGTCATAAATGCACCCACTGCAAGGATGGCCAGAGCAAGTGGCACTTTCTTCCCTCCTGGTGCCTGAGTGTCGAGATCGCTTTCCTGTCCATGAATTGGAGCAGTAGAAACAGCCCAGCTGGGCTCCGTGTACTCCGTGTTGTTGTTCGTGGTAGCACCCAGCTCAGGATCAGGTCCCGTGGTGCCGGATGCAGTACAGATGTGAAGAAAGAGACAGTACGTGCCCCAGAGTCCGAACAGGGAGAAGATGCAGGTGGAGGGTGGGAACAGGGAAGGTGATGGGAGTACAAGACAGGGGTCAACTAGAGCTAATCGTCTGTTGGAGACAAAGGCTGGACTCGAGATGAAGGCACTGGTTTGGACTCTGATGATGTGGGTTCAGTTCCTGGCTCCTGTGTGATGCCGGGTGAGTCTCTCTAGGCTGCAGGCCCGTCTGTAAACGCTGCTGCCTTTGTCACTACGTCAGTTTAGGCCCCGATTCAACAAAGAATCCCCACTCAGTGAAGCACTTAAATCCCGTTGACTTGGACGCTGTTCTGAGTCTGGGGCCAGGACCGTAAACTCTTCATGGCAGGGCCTGCCCTGCACAGGGGGTCTGAGCTGCACTTCGCACAAAGTGGCCCAGTCTCAGCTGCGGCCTCCCGGTGCTACTGGCAAATAAATACAAGAGGGAAGGTTCTAGGAGCACTCGTTTGCCTCTGCAATTAGCTGGTCCCCAGCTAATCACCAGGAGAGAAACATTCATCCCTTCCCATCTTTGGTTGAAGGGAGACACATGGAGCTGAAGAAGAGCTCTGTGTAAACGCAAAAGCTTCTCTCGCATCAACAGAAGTTGGTCCAATAAAAGCTCTGACCTCCCCCACCTTCTCTCTCTAATAGTCACTTGACAGACAGGCGGCCTTTCTTCAGAGCAGCTTTCACCTGCACCCAGGAGAAATTAATTATGATCTCAGGAAAGCACCGATTTCACTTGCTTGCAAAGAAGCTGGCGAGGGTCCCATTGTACCTTTCTGTTGAGGCACAAAGCAACGCACCCCGTTTGATCTGATTCAAAGGGTGGCTTTTTGAACCAGAGATAGCTGCTGTAGCAAAGGATGCATTTGCTGCTCCTGCTTGAACTCAGCACGCCAGATAACAGCTGAGTTATCCCACTAGGGCTCTTCCTTTCGTGTTGGAGGGAAGAGGCCGATAGAACGAGTGTCTCTCCCTGGAGCCAAGGAGGGATTGGAGCTAATCATGGCTTTTATGCCGCGGCCGGTTCTGATGAGCCGCAGATAAAAAGCGCTAATGGGAAAGGCCCTGGGTAAATCAGGATCCGTGAGGCAGGACCAGAGCATGGCTGTGATGTCGTGGTGGGGCGGGGGCCTCGTCGCTCTTTGGAAGCCAGGAATTCTTTTCAAGAAAGGAAAACTTTCTCTTCTGTCTCTTTCGCTAGTTCAAGCCAACGGCCTCCTGGGGCTGAAGGAGCCGGACGCTGAGCGTAGCAGCCTCATGCTGACGCCCACCTCGGAGGAGTCCTCAGCCGAGCTGTCCGGCAGCGTCCCAGCCCTAGTCTCCCCGCCTGTTTCGGAGCTGTCAGAGGGCCCTTCGGATGCCGCCAGTGTGGCCTCTTTGCCAGCGCCGGGAGCTGAGACGCCAGCCACTGAATCGGGCAGCAGCGTCGGCTCAGCCCCTGACCGAGAAAAGGAAGGGAAGAAAAGCAAGCAGCACCTCTACTGCCCCACCTGCAAAGTGACGGTGAACTCGGCATCCCAGCTGGAGGCTCATAACACAGGTAAGGGACTCAGCCACTAGGCCGTGCCCTGGCCTCCCATGTGCCCCGTGCTAGCGAGGGCCCTGTGGCGATACTTTCCCATAGCTGGTGGGCAACACAGTCGATAGGATTAAGCGCAGGACTCCTGGGTTCTCTTCCGAGCTGTGTGAGGAAGTACAGCCCAGTGGTTAGACCAGGGGAGACTGGAAGTCAGAACTCCTGGGTTTAATGGTTAGAACAAGGGGGACTGAGAGCTAGGACTCCTGGGTTCTATGCCTGGCTCTGGGAGGGGAATGTGGTCTAGTGGTTGGACCAGGGGGTTCCAAGAACCAGCACTCCTAGATTCTGTACTTGATTCTGCCACTGACTGACAGTGTGACCTCAAGCAAGTCATTTACCTCTGTGACTCAACTGTAAACTGTACAAACAGAGCCATACAAACCTTGCAGGGGAATCGTGAGGGGTAATTAATATTGCTTTAATTAGAAGGGGTAAATTAAGGTGCTTTGCAGATAGTGGTGTTGGTATATCTAGCTCATGCCTGCAGGGGTGGATTTTAGCAAGGTCGAACGCTCTCCTGTTGTTCATGTCACTTAATTAAAGACATTTTCAGATACGGTTAATCAAGTAATTGGAGGATATTTGATACTCCAGAGTCGTTTTCCTGTAAGTTAATTTTCCGAAGTGACTTGGGCTCCAAAGTGTCTAAGCCACTTTTGAAAATAGAACTTTGGCTCCTAAGTCTAGTAGGGGCTTTTGAAAATCCCCCCCTCCATTTCTTCCCCTCCCCCACCCAAACCAGACACTTGCTCACATTTTTGTGTTTGCAAATTATGCACATCAGAAAAGACCACGACTCCGTGAAGCTGGGGAGGATTGTACATTCTGGGGGGCAGGGACAAGCTTTTGGTCCTGTGTTTGTCCCACCCCTAGTGCAATGGATTCCTGATCCGTGCCTGGGCTCTGAGGGGCTGCAGTAATACAAACAATAATAAAACATTGCCTGCAGAAGAAGCATGATTCCAACATTAGCAAAAGCTTCTTGTGCCTCAATTTAGGAGCAATTATCACCCACCTGGGGCACAGGTCGGGGGCTGTGAGCAGTAATTAGTTAACGCCTGTAAAGCAATTTGAATGTGAAAAATAAGCCCTGTTATAATGTTCCTTTCTGCTCTAGTATGTGGGAGGCTGAGAGCTGCGGATAGACACACACAGCATTAGGCATGCAGCTTTCCAGTTGGCATACAGCAAATTAGCCTCTTTCCGAATGCAGAAGAGTGGCAACAGACCTAGCCATGCTGCTAGTTTGGGGGCTGCCATCAGTGACCCTGTCTAATCTCTAGAATTACTTGGGGTTGAAAAATAACGCGGAATAAGATCACATTTACTGAGGTAGCCAGCGAGTGTTGGTTTGTTCCTTCAAAGCCGCACTCCTCCGTAGCAATGGTGACACCTAGTGGCTTTTGAATCCCCTGCAGCTCCATGCACCTCTCTGAAATTTTTCTTCATGTGATGCTTAGAAACAACTACCCTGCAAACGAAATAGAAAAAACAAAGAACTACACCCGGGTTTAAAAGAGAGGGGCCCCCAAATTCAGTGAAAGCTGGAAATTAAATCGTCCAGCCCAGCGAACCCTCTGAAATACGGCCAGATTCTGCTATGGCAGTGCTCAGGAGCAGGAAGGTCAGCTAAGGACAGTGGCTCAGCTTAGCTGCAGACATGTCCTTTTGCTTTTGTCAGCTCGGCTTACAAATGTAGGAGCTGATTTGAGGAAAAAGAACCAACCAACAAACAAAATGTTCAGGGTTTTTTTTACTGCTATAGCAGAGAAGCCGGGCACAGAGTCAGTGGAGTGTCAGGTTCCTAGTTGGGAGCTTAACAGTAAAAAAAGGTGGGGAGTTGCTTTGCTGTTTATTTCATTTCAGTTGTTTATGGGGGGGTCTCTCTGAAAGGATTCGCACTCCCTAAGGTTTACCCCACTCCAGATGGCTGAACATGGTCTTTATAGGGGTTTGAGCAGGGGAAACTGGGAGCTAGGATTCCTGGGTTCTCTTCCCAGCTCTGAGTGGGGTGTGCAGAGTGCCTAGAGAAAGCGGGGGAATGGGAGTCAGGACTCCTGGGCTCTATCCCTGATTCTACCACTGACCTACTCTGTGACCTTGGGCATTGCTCCTCTGCTAGGCTACTGACAGCCACTTCCATGTACCTCCCTAGGCCACAGTTAATACCGACACACTCCGTGATGCGCCCTAGTAAATGCTTGAAAGTGCAGTTTTGCCAAAGCTCTTTGTGGAGGGATATTCTCTGGCAACTAGCTGGACTGGCTGAGACATTCAGCAAGCCTCCAAGACTTGGGAAACCACATAGGGAAGGTCTTGAGAGCAAGCCAGCATGCCCTTCGGTCGAGTCAGTTTTCGCTGCTTGAGCAATAAATAAAAAGTCCCGGTCGAGGGTTTCTACGATGCATCTCTGGAACTCTAGAAACGTAGGGGAAGGGGGGAAATGCTGCCGGGGGAGACATGGAATGTGCAGGATCTGCTGAGAAATCGTTCTGGAATAGAAATCACTGCCTGCAAAGAGGCAGCGTGGCCCAGTGGTGAGGGTATTGGATAGGGTTCTGTTCCCAGCTCTGACCTTGGACAAGGCCTACTCTGTGCCTCAGTTTCCCCACCCATAACATGGGGTAATGGTACTGCCCTTTTCGGTAAAGCGCTTTGAGATCTGGGGGGAAGGCCTTGACAGAAGAGCTACTGAGCAGCCCTGCCTCTGGAGCAGGCATGTCCACACAGCCCAGCCCATTCTGGGGCCAGACCTGTGCTTTCTGCATGCGCAGGCCTCGCCTCCTTGGAGCCAGGTCCCACTAACTCAGTAGGTGGCAGCTGTACCGGGTCAGCCGAAAGGGCCGTTTTCTAGCAGAGCTGAAAAGAGACAGGGGTTGCCTGCCCCGGGGCCGTGCTGAGCTGGTCCCAGCTGCAGCTGGGAGTCACACACGCACCCTGGGCCGAGCCAGTAGGAGCCCCCTGGAGCTAGCCCGAGTTAGGAATCACTCTGTGTAGATCTTACATTCCTCTCCCCGTTGCTGAGCTTGGCTCACTCTCCCCCCCCCCGTTCTGATTTTTTAATCCCGCCAGCTCTTGGCAGATCTCCTGCTGTTTTATGTAAAACCTGCAGCATGCGGTGTCTGAAGGCCGGTGAAGCCCTTAGTCTAGCGTGAGGGAGAGCTCAAACCGCAGGCTGGCGGATGTCATGCAGAGGACACTCAGCAGAGACCCAGTCTCTTTGGGGCCTGGAATCATCCCCTTCAAAGCCAGCCCCGTCTTCTCCTATTACACATGCCCAAGATCAAAGCAGGCTCAGTGCTTCTGTCCAGAACCTGAGCCCCAGGAGGATGCGAGAGCTTTGCCTAATGGCTCAGAGATTGGGCCCGGGAAGGAATGCTGAGCTAGCCAGCGCTGTGACCGCCGACACCTGGGGGAGCGAGAGATCCCAGAAATGACCTCTGCTCATAGTGACTCTGACACCACATGCTGGGCACCAGGTGTCAGGCTGCAAGGCACAGGGGACAGAGAGATGCCCTTGTGCAGGGAGGAGAGCCCAAGAGACAATTTCCTCTGGCTCCTAGACCTTCCTTAGAGCCAGATCCTCCAGCAATTCCAGTTCAGACTCTTATACTGTCAGGGATTATAAACTGGCCCTAGAGGTTTTGCTCTGAGCTTGGCCGTGGAACATCACACGGGAGGTTCGGATTCTGGGCTTTGGCAGCTGTTTTACCAGCTTGCTCTGAAGTTCTCCTCCTGGGTGATGTCTAATGGGTGGATTTCTCATTAAGGGAAAAACGTCCGAGCTCTGAGAACAGGGATTGTTTGTGCTTTCCCTGGCAGCCGCCAGCTAAGTGCTGGGAGACACTGGGCTTCAGAGTCAGGAGACCCGACTCCTATCCTGGCTCAGTCACCGACCCATTGTGTGACCTTATGCAAGCCCCTTTCCTGCTCCGTGCCTCAGTTTCCCCTCCCACCCCGTGTCTGTTGTGATTATTTAGTCTGTAAACTCTTCAAGCCAAGGGCCATCTCTCACTACGTGTATTGGGGCCCCAGTGTCAGCTGGGGCCAGTACCTGCTAATTGAATGCAAATAGTAGTGACAAACACTGCCAGCTGCCTGCCAGAAAGTGACTAGAAGCAGGAAACTAAATCTGAACAATGAGCAGGTCAGAAATAACAGCTTCCGAGCGGGTGGAAAACCCCTACGATTGATTAAATTAACCACATGAGATGGCGCTAATGTAACACCAGAGGTCGAGTCCTACCGGCACGCTCTGAGAGGCCGGTCTGGCACTTTTGGGGGAGCCAGAACAGTGGAGTGCGACACTTCTGGTCGTTGTGTTCCCCCAGCACTCACCCACTGTATAACACCCTGGCAAAGAGTCTGGCGTCCCCCTCTAGAATCGAGTCCATGGAGGGGAACAGCCTACCACTGCTACCAGCGAGGGGAGTTAGTCCTGTAGCAGGGGTCTATGTTCCTCAGTCCGTACAGGGAGTGCGGGTGGGGTGGGGAGAGTCTTACATGAGTAACACCGCAAGCAGCAAGATTTCCAAATGCGTCTTGCGCCTCCTCCGGAATACTGCGTTTTTCAGCGGTGTCTTAATCCAAACGCGGGCCGCGTGATCCCTTTGCTGAGGGTCTGTCGTTTTTCCTCTGCCATCCAGGGGCCAAGCACAAGTCTATGCTGGAGGGTCAGACCACCCAGATGCGGCGGGGCCGGGGCAAGGTCATCCCCAGGGCGGGGCACAAGTCCAAAAGAATCGGCAACAAGGGCAGCATCCACATCCAGAACAAGGCATTCCGTTGCCAAGTGTGCGAGATCTACGTCAACTCAGAGACCCAGCTCAAACAGGTGATACCTCCAGCTCTCCCACCTGCGGGGAGGGGGGGGACTTTCTCCTTGGCCTCTCCCCTCGCTGGGCAGGGGCACGGGGTCAGTCTCAGCACCCAAGCCCTGAGGTTTTCATGAGTGCCAGGGGGTGGGGAGGGTCCTGCCCCACAGCCCCCCAAAACATCCTTAGGGGGTCGCTTGGCAGGATGATCCGTGCACTCCCAGATCCCCCAGAAAAAAGCCCCCACTGCAGATGGCACCTTGCAAAGCGCAGTTCTGTGGTGCAGTGGGGGGGCGACGAATCCCTTTGCCTGGGCTCGGTTGCTCCTCCCCTCCAGGGGAAGAGAACAACACTTGCTGTTTTCATGAGGTTTGCAGAGCCGGGGTGGAGGGGCTGGGTGGCTGGGGATTAGGAGATGGAGAGACGCAGGGATCAGACGATGGAGTGAAATAGGTGCCTGGCACAGCTCCAGAAAAGTCAATGTATGTATATTCAGTAGTGCCTTGTTCAGAAAGAAGCTGCCAGGTGGGTAACCCAGGGCCCAAGGTATTGAGAAAAGCCATTCTGGGAGCAGGGGTCTTCCGTGGGACACAAATGCCCCATGCGAACCATCTCTTCACCTCTAGTGACTAGACCGTGCACAGAGGTTTATTTCCATGTATATTTGCTACTGGCTGCAAGCTAAGGGACTCGATTGTGGAGCTCAACCACTAACGACTGATGCTCTTCGCTCCAGAGGTCTTGGGTTCCGTTCCTGCAGATGATCAAACAAGGACCATCATTATACATACATGCAAATTCCAGAACCCTAGAGACTGAAGCAAAGGCTGCATTTCGTAATTACCGCGAGCGAGCTGAATTCCCAGGCAGAGAGCGTGGCTTTGCAGGGTCACTTCGCATGCAGTGGGTTTGTTTACTGTCCGCGTGTGTGACTCTGTTTTCCATCTGCAGCATGTGAGCAGCAGGAGACACAGAGACAGGCTTGCTGGGAAGCCACCCAAGCCAAAATACAGCCCGTACAACAAGCTCCAGAAGAACGCTGTCCTCGCAGTGAGTATTCTGAAGGTATCTGTCTCCCAGAAGCCCTCTGGCCATGGTGCCTGTCTGAAATGTTGCTCACACTGTTTGTCAGCTCATGGGATTTTATCACGAGGCCTGTGATATGTGGTGGTTTCTGTTTTCAAAGCCCCAGCTCCAGGAGTCCTCTGATTATGTCAGAATCTCAGCTTTCATTGAACAAAACAGTGAGTTTCTAGCCCTCGTGAATGTGGAGGGAAGGTTGGAAGGGAGATTCTTACAGTCTCTGATACCACAAAGCAAAGAAGAAGAACTCAGTGTTTTTTATTTTTAAAAGAGGATGATATTTACCTGAATCCCATGGTTTCTAGGGGGGCTGACTCACGATTTTTAAATGCTTGGGGTTGGCAGTGTTTTTGTTCAGCTCATGCCAAGTTCCAGGGTTCGTTCACAGAGTCACGAGTCTGGTCTGCAGTGCAGCCGCAGCTAGTCCTGTCCCAGTGACATAGCGCTAACAATCGGCTATGCTGGGCCTTGTTTTCTGCTTCCTGTCCCGAGGGGGGAAATTGATGCTTTGATGGTCATTTCTCAGGTAGGTTCAAGCCCAGACTCCCTGGCTGCATCGGTGCTGTGCTCTGATGCCATATACAGAAAAGGGTTCTGCTAACACTTACTAATAATTTTTTACAGAGCCATTCTCGAGCCCCCTACTCCCAGCTGATTAGCTGCTTTAAGACCAGTCCTGGCCTGTCTGCCCTGTGAGCTGCCACCAGATCAGTTCTTGACAAATGGCTTTCGAAGGGTTGCTTTGGTGGGGAGACAGGGCCTGAGTGGGGAGAGGAGTAATTCCAAGTGCACGCCGACCCCTGGCTGGAAACAAAACCTGGGACACTTGAACTCCGGCGCATCAGGGGTCACTGAGATCCAGGAAGAATTCTCAGCATCTTCCTAGGACGCAAAGTGCTCCATAGTTTCCTGGTCTCCCAGATCAGCAGTATCCTGTCTGCGCAGGGAGACAGGATGAAATGCTTTTGGAGGTATCCTGCGGCCGCATGTCAAGTCCTTTCAAGGACAAACCTGATACTGGCGGCTCCTTGACCCGATGGATTCCCACCTCAGTATTAAAGGAAATAGCTACCTAGATGGACAGGGGTTTAAGGCCAGAGGGAACAATTAGGATTGTGTAATACTCTGACCTCCTGGATAGCCCAGGCCAACAGCCCCACCCAAGGATCCCTGCCGTGAACTTCAAAGGGGAAGCTAGAGTAGATCTGTGAGAAAGGCCTCTGGCTATCAGCTGTGAACCTCCCTGCACAGGTGCAAGCTTCGTGGCTCTCTCTACTATGTAGGAAACGTAGGATGGAGGCTCAAGTTGAGTCCCCAGAGTCACCATTGTGGATGGATTCTGGGTTGGGGTTAGTGGTCTGCATTCGTCTGGCCCAAAGACCAAGTCCAGGATCCACTGAAAGCCAGAAGATTCAAAACTGAGACCTAGAAATATGCCTCCCTCCGACACACAATGAATGACTGGCCTGTGGAACTCATGTCCACATATCATTGAGGTCAGGAGCCTAGCTGGATTCCTCTGAAGCTGCAGGCTCTGGACTAGAAGAGTCCTTGGTCTGATCCCCTGGGGCAGTTCCTATGAAATAGAAACTGGGTGACTATTGGACCCCTGTCTCCGTGCCCACATGCCTGTTATCAGACTAACCCTGAGCCCCGGGCTGGCTGCTCCACTCCCCCGCAGAGCCGGCGATGCCAGGATCTCTCCCCTCCTGCAGCCAAGTGGTTCACGTGCTTTGTCTCTTTCTCTCTCTCTCTCCCCCCCCTACAGTCCAAGCTGGCTTTGCAGAAGCACCTCACCAAAACCTTGGCCACCCGCTTCCTCCCAAGCCCCCTCACCACGGCAGCCATGTGCGCCATGCCTGGCCCACTCACCCTCAGACCAGCCACCGCCCTCTTCCAGGCCCCGCTCCTTGGACCAGCGCTCTTCCGAACCCCGGCAGGTCACGTCCGCACCACGCCCGGCCCCATCGTCTTCGCGCCCTACTAGAGCCTCGCGCCCTCCAAGGCTCCGTCTCTCCCGGACGCGGCGAAGAGCCCGGGGAGCTATGCAGCAAGGGGCAGCACTACTGGACAGGGCTCTGTTCCGATTGAAGGCAAATGATTCTTTGTAACCGTTGATCGGCGGTCGGGGGGGGTTCTTTCACTCCCAGCGGGTTCTCACTGGGCTAGGAGATTCCCCATCTGACTGCTCTGCCAGGCCTGGCTGTGCCCCCGTTACCCACGCCCAGTGCCCCAGTCGGTTCTGCCACCCACTCACTCAGTAGCTCTCCAAAAACACAGCTCCATGTCTGGTTTGATTGGATTCAGTTAAAGGGACAGTGCCAGGATCCCCTAGGCCCATTGATGCCCATGGCCAGCGGGTGCCCCTCTTTGGCTAGTGAGTTTTTCATTCATCCCCTTCCCAGTGATTCATTTAAACCAAACCAGGGAAGGGGCCTGGCTGACCCTCTGGAAAGGGAGGGCCTTTCTCTCAGACTTGCTGGTTCAGAGCCAGCCCAGGTTCCTGGCGACCCCCAGATCATAGGCCCTGCTGGAAGGAGTCTGTGGTGGATCTCAGGCCAGTTTCCAGTGGGAGAAACCTCCCCAGCACAAATTCCACCTGTAGCAGGGAGGACACAGCCTAAGCCCTGCGTGGGACATGAGGCACGTAGGCAGAGAGCCGCGTGGTGGAAGATTGCCCTTCCTACTGCCTGAGCCATCCTGGATCTGAGGATGCAGGGAGTGTTACTCTCCAGCTCCTCTGGTCTGGTCCATTTCAGCAGCAGGAAATCCAGAGGAAAAATTAACAAAAACAGACACCGGCAAACAGGGACAGCGTTTTCCCATAGAACAAACAGTTGAACCCCGGGGCTCCTTGGCAGCAGAGACCTCTTTGCTGCTCACTTCAGAAAACACATTATCATCCAACGCCGGAAGTGCAGCGGAGGGCCACTCAAATTGGATAGGAGCGTTTGTCTAGAGCAGTGTTTTTTAACCTTTTTGTAATTTGCGGACCCCTTTGGAAATGAGATATAGTCTGAGGATCCCCAGGGGTCCGTGGACCACAGGTTGAAAACCACAGGTCAAGTGGTTAAACAACAGGACTCCTGGATTCTCCTCCCAGACCTGGGACAGGGTGTAAGAACAGGACGTGGGGAATCAGGACACCTGGGTTCCATTACCAGTTCAGCTACGGCCTGGAGTCAACTGGTTAGAGAACGGCCCTTCTCCTTGGCATCTATTCCCAACTCTGCCATTCACCCCCTTGCACCACGGCGCTTCACCTCTTAGTGCCTCCGTTTCCCCCAATTAAGCAGGGGATAGCTCTGTCCCTACCTCGCAGGGAGGCTGAGTGAAGGTTCATAAAGCATGTTGTCCTTCCATAGCGCCTTTCCTTGGAGAGCTGCAAAGCATTCCTACTGTTAACAGGCCAGCAGACACAATCCAGTCACCCAGCCCCCTTGAAACTAGGAGCTTCCAAGGAAACTGGGAGGATTCCCTGTTCGTTCAGCCCGACAGCCCAGAATCAAAGAGCAGGTTCGTTTAACAAGCCCGTGGCGTTGTCCCTCTTATGCTCTGAGTGCAGCTTGCAGACCGTGGGGCTCCAGGGCCCACGCTAGGCATTACGGGAGCAGTGGGTTTGTTTTTCACTGTGTTAAAAGACGGCGCGAGGACCTGGTCTGAACAGTCACCGAGCCGCTCTGGGCTCCGTAGCGCGCTGTAAATAGAAATATGCAGGAAGGTTGCGACCCGCACGGACCTTGTGCCGGAGTGACCCCCCCGTCCCGATCTATGCAAATCCGAACGGAGCAGCCCGTCGTCGTGGTAGCCGGGCTGCGTCCAGCGGCGGTGCCCGCTCTGTGTGTACAGCGAGGAATGTTGGTCGGAGCAGAAACTGAACCACGCACCTCCGTGAGAGAGCCCCCTGCTCCCCACTGCACAGGCTGTGGGCCCCCAGCGGAGCTGCCCTCCGATTTGGGCAGCTCGCAGTCCCCACGCACAAGCACACCTGTCCGATGACTGAACTTGAACACACCAGCTGTGTGGCAGGAGGCATTTGGGCAGCACAGGGAGGATCCTGCCGCTCCCCCCCACACCCCCCACCACTGGAGGCTGAACACGGTTTCCAAACACCATGGGGCCGTGAGATTGTCACTTCCCCAGAGCTCAGGGGCAGTCCCTGGGTGCTTTGGGCAATACGGGTCTGTGTGTTTCATGTCCCCGATCCACAGAGGAGGTGGGTCGGTTATAGCTCAAGCCGGAGCATTGTGCTTTCAGTGCTGGAGGTCCCCAGTGCAAGGCCTGATGGTGCTGTCCCACAACCCCCTCCCCCTTGGCGTGGTCACCAGCGGGGTTTGACCTGGGGCCGACAGCACCACAATGCAGATTCCTACCGCTTGAACGGGCAGTAGTAGTGGGTTGTTATCCCCTATAGGCCCAGCCCACTAGAGGGGGCTGTGCTAAGAGCTCAGACAGCGTATTACAGGAGCGCACTACAGGGGGACATGGCAGCTCTCAACACGTGGGATATGCCGGGGAGACTGTTCTCCCCCTCCCCGCTTGGGCGTGCATGGAGCTGGTGCAGGATAGACTGGCCTGCCTGGGGTAAACCAGAGTCAGGCCTTGGGGCTGAGAACTGGGAGAGCCAGCCCTGGGGCTGGGGGGAGGGGCACATTTTGATGCCAGTTTTTCTGGGCACCTGAAGGTGAAACCTTGGGGGGTTCTTTTTGGGGGGTTTAAATGTGTCCTACGGAGCTTTGCAATAACCCCCAGCGCCAGCCAGCTGTAGGGGACCAGCTCCATCCCTTACAGCCTCAGGGTGGGCGAATCCTCCGCTAGGCGTCCACAAGGGAATGGAGTCCCAGTGGGGGCTAGACCCCCCCCCAGATCACAGGAGCCCCTTTCATAAATCCCATTGCGGGGGCGGGGGCTGGTGGTGGGATGCCACTGGGCAACCCGTCCCCTCACGAAGCTTTAGATGGGGAGAGGGAGGGATCTGGACACCTCTGTGTGATGCCGGTCATCCCCTAATGCCATCAGCCCCCAGGTAACCTGGGACTTACCCTGGCACCGGCCGTCCAGCCCCGCAGCAGCCTCTCCTCCATCTGCCTCTAGTTGGGTTTGCTCCCTCCCGCCACCATCCTGCTCCAGCTCCGGTCTCCTCCTGCTGTCTCTTGTGCAGTGGTCATTTTAGGAATTCAGGAAGCACAAAGCTTTAGCCATGGCCCCCACTCCACCCTGAGAGACTCCGGTCGCTTTCCCCAGAGTCAAACCTGCCCTCAGCCCAGCGGCGGGGTCATGATACACTGGGACACTTCGCACTTTAACCCCTTGAAAGCCATTCCTCCCCGTCACAACCATCCTGCAACGGGCTGCTTCAGAGCACTCTGCTGTCTCCCTCACCTCCGGACCCCCGCACGCCGCCCCTGCGCTAGCCAAAGCAGTTACCGCCTCTGAGTTCGCACACGCTGTGGTAGGTCATAGGCCCTGGCGCTGACGTGTGCCCCTCTGTAAATACCCTTGGCGTGATGTGAACAATGTTTGATTTTCACAACTAAAAAGCAAACGAAATAAACAGCCTCTAGGGACTTGGCCAGTACCCCCCCCCCCTCTGTACTGTCCAGTGTATATTTTTTGATGTACTATAACCGTTGGGGGGGGAAAGGAAACTATTTTGATAATCGAATCTCATTGCTTTCTTGTGTTACTCCGTAAATAAAAGGAACCTGTATAAATGCGCCTGGACTTTCGCGCGCCATCTTTATTTGGGACCTTGAGGTTGGAGCCTGCGGAGGTGGAAATCGGAACACATCCGCCACGACGGATTGCCAAAGGATCGTTCACCCTGTAGCCAGCAGCTGGGGAAAACCAGCCACATCCCCAGCCAAAGGATGGGCTGGCTCAAGCTTTTCCTGTAGCTTTCAATGCAAGGCTGGACCAATAACAAATTGTTAGTGTGTAACAGGGCCTGGGAGCTACTCGGCCGCAGGCGGCCCTAGCTAGGCCCCGGTCGTAGTGCCATGCCACCAGCCAGCCATGTTCCCAGGAAGCACACCCGCTCCGAAAGCAGCTGAGCTGAGTTTATTGACGGCGCTTGCTGACCAGGAGGAAGGGGCTCCACATGCCTCTGACATGAGATTACATCCATGCAATCATTAAAAAAAGAAACGCTAGCCAGAACGTGCCCTGCTGCAGGGTGAGCTAATCCAGGACACCCCAGTGAGCCCCAGTCGTGCCCCACAGCAGCCAAAGCACATTCCCTCCCATCCCAGATTTCTGGCCAAGGAGAATCTCGGGGACCATCTAAAATTAACCCCCTTGGTTCTTGGCCAACTGACCATTTTAATGGCCTGCTGAGGCCACCTCCGCAGCCTGACCCCAGTTCCGTCCAAAGAGCGTCAGCCCAACAGAGCCACAGGGCGGAAACGTGTCTCCCAGGGGCCAGCTGCTCCTCAGTAACGAGGCTGAGCTGAGCTGCACCCGCCTAACGAGCAATGCAAATGGCTGGTGCGTGGCCTCCCTCTAGCGGCTGGCCCACGCCCAGGCTTCTGCATTGAGCTCCCCCCGCTGGGGTCTTCAGCTCAGGCCGTAGCGGGATCAGGGGCAGGGTCGCAACCCCGACACCATGGCTTGGCCTGGCCTTCGGCCTGGGATCGCAGCATGGGAAAGCTCTGATGTGCTTGGACACTGAAGAGGCTCTAATGAGCTTAATGAACCTAAACCCAAGCTCTGCTCGGCCTGGCCTCACCCGAGCGCCCCAATTCTGCTGCTGCAGAGGGGCCAGGTGCAGTTAAAGAGCTGAGGGGGACGGGGGGGCCTAGGAGCCCAGCAGACAGTGAAGGTTCTGCAGGGACCCAGGGCAGTCCTTGCTCCCCACGATCTTCAGGGAGGCAGCTACGGAGCCCCCAGGGAGTGAGTGCCGCATGCATGGGGCTAAGAGCCCAGCAATCTTGGAGCCCCCATCCACCTTCCCAGCTGCAGGTGCCTGTTGGTGGGCGAAGAGGCCTGGACGATAAGCGCCTTCACCCCTCGCCTGTAGCTCCAGCTCCAGTGTGCTCAAGGGACTAGTTCAGGAGCCCAACGGCTCCACAGCCGGGGACTCAGAGCCCACCTTCCGGCTGGCCACCGGCTCCAGCACCAGCCTGGAGGAAGGAACTTCGGGGAGCCAGGCCAGGGCATTCTGCGGCACGGGGGGAGGAAGGAGCTACGTAGTGCCACGATCTTCTTGTGGAGGGAACGCTCCCCTCCAGGTTCAGGGCAAGGGTTACAATGGGCCAAATGGAGTTTGGAGCCCGTGAGGCCTTTGCAGGCCTCCTGCTGCCCACGCAGCCCCCTGCCAAGGCAAGGAGTGTGTTTGCCAAGGGCTGTCTCGCCTGTGGTTTGGGAGCAGAGACCAGGCCAGTAGCTGCCTGTTCGCAGGGCTCCCGGGGCACGGTCTGGGCGAATCCCGAGTTCAGACCAGCCGCCCAAGGCTGCCCTCCCCTTCCAGGCAGCAGGGATGGGCCAGATGTCCTCACTGCCCCCAGCGACCATCCCTGGCACTGGGTCCTCGCCATGCTGCCTGGTGCAGCCAGGGGCCAAGCCCCCGCCACCCACTCGGCACCTCCCTTCACCAGGCTTCGTGCCAACACCCCAGAGCTCAGGAGAGGGTGGATGCGCCGTGGGAGCGAGGTGGCGGGGGAAGGGAGGCCAGGCCTTCAGCCGTCCATGGAACCGCTGCCCTTGTTCTTGCGGCTCAGCGGGAAGGCGGACTTGCTCTGCGGCTGCGTCATCTTGCTGGCCAGGTAGGTGAAAGGCTCGATCAGCGTCCGGCGGTCGGCCACAGACACCTCCCACAGCTTCACCTTCTCGCCCTTGGCCCAGTGCTGGGCCGCGTCATGGTCCACGCGCCGCTGCTCCTGCAGGTCGCACTTGTTGCCTAGAACCACAATGGTGACCTGTACAAATACACACAAACAGAGCACACTCAGGGCCGGCTGCCTGGCACCGCAGCCTGGGGCAGGCCCAGGGAGAAGGCTGCTGCGGATTTCACCCCTAGCACTGCGGTCTTTCTGGTGAATGTCTCTTTCCCTTTGGCGCCTTCCGTCCAGATTCCCTGCTGTACTCGGGCTGGGCCGTGTGGCTCCTGGCCCAGCCTTCGCCCCCACCCATGTGGCCAGCTGAGCAGCAGAGCTGATGGGCTCCAGAGAGTCCTGTCCAGTTCCCTGTGGCTGGAGCTTGGGCAGAGGCTACATGGGTCTTTCCGAGGAGGAAATAAGGGGATTTGGGATTTGCCAAACCGGATCAGACCACTGGTCCCTCCCGTGTGTCTTCCCCTCCGCTGTCACCCCCGGCCGACACCGAACAGCCCGTGTTCCCTCCCTTCTGCTCAAGCAGGCCTGGCCAGTCGTGCAAGGCTGTAGGTGGCAAGGAGCAGTCCCTCTCTGAGCCAGCTGGTGCCCTGAGGTCTGATTGGCTTTCCAACCCCAGTTTGCAAAGCGACAGAGGTCAGGGTGTGAGCACAAGTGCCGGCTGAGCACTTGCAAACTCAGCCACTTGCTGGCTGACTTAAAAATCCGGGGCGGGGCAAGGAGAGGAGAAAAAGCAGAGAGACCTTGAATGTGGTGCCGGACTGACAGCGCTGGAGACCAATCGCCTCTGACGAAAAGGGGAACTCCAAGGAGCAGAATGCAATACCCCCCCTCAAGCCACACCCCCCACACACACCCAGCTGGCTGCATCCCCCACCAGCTCGGTCTCTATGGCCTGTTTGCTCACAGCCCCTGTGCTGAGTATCCAAGAAAGAGGGCAGCCGGTGGCGGGGAGGGGGCCCCCCGACTCACTTCCTCCAGGACACTGACAAGCCACCAGAAGGACGCGCTCGCCCAGCTGGGCAGGATGGGGAGCTCCGGGGAAGGAGACTCCATCCCCCATACCCAGCCCGCCCCGCTCTCCAGTGCCTGGGGAAGCCTCCTCTGTACCTGCCCCTGCAGCAATGCCTCACCTCCTTCTTATCCTTGCACTTGTCGATTTCCTTCTTGAGCAGCTCCACCCTCCGGAAGGACTCCTTGCTGTCGATGCTGTACACCAGCACGTAGCCGTCCGTGCAGGAGAAACAGTGCTTGGGGAGCTCCACGCCCTCCCGCAGGCCCCGGGTGTCGTAGAACCGCACCTGCTCCCGCACCCCTCGGTCCGTCTCGATCGAGCCCACGTAGATGTCCTCCTGGGTTTCTATCATCTCGGAACCTGCAGGGAGGCGGGCGGGCGTGGGGTAACGTGGGGAGCTGGGCTGCAGAGTCTGCCGTGACGGAGGACTGCGGCAGAAGCATCCTCGCACTGTTCCACTGGACTGGGCGTCGGGAGGACTGTGTTCTATGGCTGCCTCTGCCACTGACCGGCTGAGTGCCTGTGGGCAAGTCCCTCCTCTTCCCTGTGCCTCAGTTTCCCCTCCTGGCCTTTGTCTGCTCTGTTCAGACTGGGAGCTGTTTGGGGCAGAGCCTGGCACAATGGTGCCCCAAGCTTGCCTGGGGCCCCTAGGTACTACTACATCATAGCAGCTCCTTGCCCAGGCCAGTCTCATACTCTGCTCCTTGCTCATTCAGGTCTCCCGCATCTGTGGGTAGAGCAGCCCTGCTGGGGAAAACAGCCTGTAGAAAGGAGCTGCTGGAGACGGCATCTCCAGGTATTTTTCGATTTATTCTCCCCACCTGGGACACTGGCAGCCAAACCCACCTGTCCCCATCCCCGGTCTCTCACTGCACCACCCTGTCTGCCTCCATCATGTGCTGACACTCATCCACGTTAGTTGCAGAGGGCAGGGCAGTTCCACTAGAGTTTGTTCTGGACCGCTGGGCGGTTGATGCTCATTTGTTATTGTAGGGTCTCTCGTCAACAGCTGGGCTAGGCACTGATTTGTTATTGTCAGGGGGTTGGTCTTTACAAAAAGCCAAGAATGAGGGGGGCTGCAGGACGCCCCCTTGCTGGTCACCCGCCCTGCCCCCACACTTACCAACCACATGGTTCCCATAGAGGACCTGCTCCAAGATCGACGTTTTCCCGACTGAGGCTTGGCCACAAACCACCACCTTGCAGCTCTTCCCCATCTGGGGTCTCTTTCCTGGGGACCGAAGAGCGGGACGTTGGAGCTGGAGGAAGACGTCTTCTCAAAGTCAAGTCAACTGGGC